TAGTGAAATTTCAAGTTTCTCAAGGTTTCCCTTTTTGCAAGTAACCTCACTTTTCTTGATTTTTCTTTATTTATCATGATCCAAATCATAATTTAACATTGTTCTTGACTTAAAGATTCCATGTTTTCCAAAAAAATTCCAAAAGTCAAACTTGGTTTTGATCACAGCTGACTTTTTATATCAGATGAATTTTGAATTTGGTGATCCTTTATGAAATCAAGTCCTTGGGCTAAATTGAACCTAATGTATGGATTAAAAAGGTGTTTTTGAGTATCTTGAATCATGTCCCACGGTTTGAGATCATGTCTTGGTCAAAAGTCAAAGGTATGGTTGACTTTTTCTCAAGAACCCTAATTTATGGTCCAGATGAATTTGAATCCTTGTATTACTTATGAATCAAGTTCTTTGAATTAATCCAATCTTGTGAATGGATAAATATTATGTATTTTAGGTCCTAAAAGCATATCTTGAGGTCTTGGATCATGCCTTACTTCAAAAGTCAACCTAGGGGTTGAATTAGGACAAAACCCTAATTCCTGATTTTTGATAGATACAACCCTTGAGGATATTTTCAACTTATGAATAGACTCATGGGGTTATTTTGAGCTTCTTGAATCATATATTGAAGTACTGGCTCATTCCCAGATGAAAATTTCTCTTTAGAAGCCTTGGTTGATCAAAACCCTAATTTGGTGACATTGATGGTCTTGAAGCTTGATTAACTTGGAATGATGGAATCTTGTGTTAGATTCTTGATGGGGAGGATCTATTGAACCTTCATGGATGTTTGAGATGCTTGATAAGTTGAAGATCATGTCAATTCTTTATTGATCATTTTCCTGAATGCTCTGGGAGGGCTCAAAACCCAAATTCTTGGTTAAGATGAATACTCAACAATCTTTAAGAAGATTGGTGAGGTATGAAAATACATCCATATTGTGGTGATTATTTTCACAATGGTGTGAAGTTTTATGGTCAAAATTTAGGGTAAGACATTGGACACTAACAGTGTGGAAGCTAAGTCAAAGGGGGTATCCATGTTCCTCAGAATGATATAGGTAATAATGATTTCCACACTCCTGATAGAGGGGTAGAATAACCACTACATGGGTCCAAGAATCCAGGTTAAATAAACCTTTAACAATACCTCAATCATGGGGTTGTAGGGGATTATTCTATTCACTTATGATACATTGATGCAAATCTTCTTACCACTATACGTGAGCTTGCTTTAGCATCATCAACAACCTTAAACACCACATATAGCCCTCCAAATACAGGGCTACCCTTGTGTATCTTTAACAAGTTAAATAAGGGATATAGAGATTGTACCATATATTTATACATGTTTGGCCAAACCACTTGACCTAATCCTATCCTCAAGAGTTTCCTCTTGAGAGTTTAACTAAAAACAAACTTGAGCTTTTAATGGATTATCCCAAAAAACCTTCAACAACATTTGAAGCTTATACACGGGATCAGCCCACGAATGTCAACTGACAAATAGAGCTTTTACACAGCCTTAACTCAATAACCAACAAATAGAGCTTTTACACATGCATAGTTCAAGAACATACAAACAAAGCTTTTACACAGGCTTAGCTCAAGAAGAGGCCTCAAGTTTTTTCATGTTTAACTTGCAACCTTTAAATCCTTTGCAAACAATTTTACACAAGAGAGTCACACTCTTGAAAAAAAAAATTAATCACAACAGCAGTACAACACAACCCTCAAAAGGATTTTAAATATTTCATCACTACGACAATTCTAGTGAATTTTTTTTTTTATAAATAAAGAGAGTATAAAAATAATAAAGAGGTTTCTTTTCAGAAATCCGGTGTAAAATATGAGGAGAAATCTCTTTTATATAGAATAGTTTTGCCATAAAAAAGGAAATAATCAATGGAACAAATAATTGTGTTAATTGAGTAACACATATTTTAATCCATTAAAACACTTTAAAAAATGACAACCCTAGTCCATAAAAAGAAAGCCTAAATGGATTTTCCAATCGATTATAAGGTATTTCTCATTACTTTAATTGATTAGACCAAGTCCTTAATCTATTAGGCAGTGAGTTATCTTTCCTAATAGATTAGAAACACTTCTTAATCGATTTCATAAATGGCATGATAGGTTTTTAAGAAGTTTAATGAAATCACATAGAGTTTAAAAATATATTTTATGTGTGTATGTTTGATTTTCTTAATACTTTAAGACTTACTCTTGTACTTTAGTACTTTAAGATTTTGTTGCATATGAGATTCTTAAGATCATCTTGGAAGTTGTTGAAAAACTCAAATTATCCATAAACACTCTCATCCACATAATGTGCTAGGATGAGATGTTTGTCAGGAAAGTGTTGATAGAGCTTTTCCTTTTGCTCTTGGGGCAAAAGGTCATAAAACAAGTAGGTTGGATCATATCAACTTGCAGACGTGTAAATTCTTTTTGGTGTCATTAATGATGATGATGATGATAACAAAAAAAATCAAAAGAAGTAAAGAAATCAAATAGATGATAGCAAGAAGAGAATATGAGAGGATGGGAAAAAGAGAAATGAGATTACCTATTTATATACTCGTTTTAATCTATTAAAAGAGTTTTAATTGATTAATGAATTAATTGTAATCAATTTCTAATTGATTGACGAAGGCGAGGTGCAACTTATCAATATTTGATCGATTAAATTCATGAAATTGAATTTATAAAGGCCTAATCGATTAACCTTTTAGATTTAGTCGATTAAAAGGAGGTTTTCCAATTTTCTTGGTCCGCTTGGGCCTAAAATGCCGTTGGGCTTTAGACTTCTTTTTGACACCTCCCCTTTTGCTAAAGCTTTATTTTTCAATCAAAAGGTTAGATGAAAATAAAAAATAAAAATAATTTAACACTTGTTAGAGGAATAATCAAAGAGTTTCAAGTTTTTATTCTTAAAATCCTTTTTGAAGATTATAGTTTTTGAGGATTTTTTTTAAATTTTTAATTAAATAGTTATTAAGGAACTAAGTTTAGGAAAAATAATTGGATTTTAAAAAGGAAAATCACATTTTCTTACTTCAAACTTTTGACGCTTTATTTTACATTTTAAAATTGACACTTTTATTTTAAATATTTTTAAAATATATTAACTTTTTCATTTCTAAATTAATTTTTTTCCAAGAAAAATGTTCTTGAAAAAGTACTTTTGATTTTTTAAATCAATTTTTTTTTTTTAAGAAAGAATATTTGAAAAACTAACATTTTTAGTTTTTCTTTATTTTTTTCCCTTAATTTTCTTATATTTTTCTTAGGAACTCCCAACTTTGATCACTTTTACTCCTAGACCAATTTTAATGGCATTCTCTTTGAATTTTATTATGGACACTTTCGTTTGACCATCAATATCCTCTTTGTCTTTTATATCTCATTTACTACAATTTTAATTTCCCCTGTCATCTTGTTCCACGTCACATTTGTATTTATTTGTGTTTTAAAAAAGTATTTAATTTAATAAAATATTTATCTTTTAAAATAATATAAAAATTCATTATTATCCAATAAAATTATCTTATTATTTTGAGTGATCCATCGAATTTAGAAGAAAACAAATGGGATGAATACCTATCCATCCACTCTATATTATCACATAAATTTACTCAATTTAATTCAATAATAATTATCTAAATGGATGTGACTTTTTTTTTCTTAATTCTTGATATTCGAGTATTTATATGTATTGGTTGAGTTAAATATGTGTTAACTATTTATATATAATTTAATTTTTAATAATATTTTTAATTCTTATAATAAATTTTTTCTTTTTTCTTTTTATTTATTTTAAATTACTTATTCTTTTAAATATTAATGTGATATTTATTAATTTTTTCCACTAACCTATGCTTATTTATTATATTTTAAATAATATAAGTATTCAATTATTTATTATTAATAAAATTATTTTAATAAATAATATTTATTTTATCATCTAAATCAATACAATTAATTATTATCTTAAAAGGTTTTAAAATGTCAAAAAAACACCTATTATAAGACAGAGAGAATTATTTATTTATACTTATATCATTTATTTATATTTATGTAAACTATTTTATAATTATTATTAAAAAATAATAAAAACTCAATTTTTAATACTGTAAAAAGGGTTATAGTGATAAGAAAATTGTTTACATTGAACAAGCATGGCTGTCTTATTTTCTCATTCTATAAAAGTATTACTTTATTTTTATTTTTATTTTTATTCATTAAAAATGTGTAACTTGAGGTGTTAATTTAATGCTAAAAACTTAATTTTATTACCTCAAAATATTAAATTTGAATCTCTTTTAAGATAGAAATAAAATATAACTATTACTATGAATTAACTTAATAAAAAAATTCCATCATCCAATTTCTTAAAAAAAAAAAAAATTTTTTTGAAATTAACAAAACATTTTTAATTCCTATATTACCCTTTTCTACATTTGACCTTTGGACAAGAGAATCACAATATTATTAATAAAAGCCTTAACTTATGTTCAAAAATGACCAAACCAATAACTATAGTAGCGGTTTCAAAACCTGTTAAATCCATTGCACTATCCTAACCGTTAGGATCATTTTCTCCCCAAAAAATAATAATTTTATATCCAATCTCAACCGTTGGATTTGAAAAAACACCTCATTTTCACTTAGTCAAAATCATAAAATGGCCCCACGAATATGATTCCATTGAACATCAACAGAACCAACCTTCTTCTTCCACAACTCTCTACTTCTCTTTCTCACCATTCATCTTCACTTTGAGTCACACCAAAGCCACTTGGATTCTTTTTTATTTTTTATTTTTAAAACCCACTTAGATTCCACATATAAAAAATGATTTTTTAAAGGGTTTTTTTTGGGTCCTCATTTTTTTTTCTTGTTTATCATCTTCTTTATCTTTAAAAGCTTGTGGGCTATGTTATATTAATATTACTTTGAAGCTTTTTTTTTTCTTTTCTCTTCTAGTTTTCTATACAATGAGTTCAGGTGCAAATTTGGTTAGTACAATTATTGGATTTGGAATGAGTGCAACTTTCATTGTTTTTGTTTGTACAAGAATAATCTGTGGAAGATTTAGAGAAAGACATGTGGGTTCACGCACTATATATCAGATTGAATCCAGACCAGATATTGAACAGGTAAATTTTCATTTTAATATATATTATATTTTTACTTAATTAAATTAAATATGTTATTTATTCAATGAATCTAGAAAAAATAAAGTATTTTTTTTATCAGTGTAACTGTTGAGATTTTGATTTTTTTATTTGTTTACATGATAGCCAGAATGTGTTGGTAATGAACCGGAGCCAGCATTTGTTGCTGCAATTCCTACTTTAAATTTCAACCAAGAGGCTTTTAATACCATTCAATGTACACAGTTAAGTTTAATCTCTAATTTGAATATTTTATTAAATTATTATTATTGATTACAAGTTTCCTCGTAAAGTAATTTTTCAAAAATTATTTATTTTTAATAAATCATTGACCTCTAGCTTTGGTTTTTACAGGTGTGTGATATGTTTGGGAGATTACAAAGAAAAAGAAGTATTGCGCATAATACCTTATTGTGGACACACTTTTCATCTTTCTTGCATTGATATTTGGCTTAGGAAACAATCCACTTGTCCTGTGTGTCGTTTGACATTGCATAATGTTTGTGAAGAAAAACATGTGAGACCTGTGGGGTTCACCATAAGAGAGACTCTTGATGAGTCTAGTAGTTCAGAAGAGAATGAGAGAGAAGTTGAAGGTAATGTGAGAGAGACAGAATCAGGGTAGTGATGATATGAGAGAGGTTAGGAAGAAGGAGGTGTTGTATATTCTTGAAAATGGTGTTTAGAAAATTAGTAGTAATACTCCATTTGATTATATTAATCGTATGGAATTTTTGTGGGTTTTACTAAATAATAATTTGGATTCACTTATGTTTAGTGATTATTTAGTGAAACCCACTTGAGATGTAGTGAATGATAGTATACATTGGAAGTATCTTGGTATAGATTATCATGAGTTATAGTAGTGAGTTTATTGTAATTTTAAATAAATAAAAAAAAAAAACTAATGAGACATTTTAACACGTTTAGGGTGTGAGGTTTCAGAATTATCATCGGTTAAAATTATATTCAACTCATTCGTCACGACATTTAAAAGAATGATGAATTCACTATTGTTCAGGGTAAGACTATAAATGAACATCTAATATGCATAACAATTTGCTTCCCATCAAATATGATTGAATTTAATGTGCCAATTTTTTTGAGTCAGCCTTCTGAATCTACGGACTAAAATTGAGAAATTATGATTGTCTCTAGTCTATTGGTTCACCAAATCTATCATAACTTTAGAGTCACTCTCGCCACCAAATTTGCAATTCTATCATGCCAAGCTAGCTCAATCCCATGTAACATCGCTCACATATCTGGATAAGAGCATCACACAAACCAATTTTTCAAACACATTCTCTCGCCTAACTTTTGAAGGAGTCCCTGAACATGCTTATGTATCCTTCCATGGAAGTAGACTTCTTGTAGCCACCATTGCAATTGAGCTTAATCCAACTGCCCTCTGGGTAGTACCATTGAACATGTTGGTATATGGTTCTGAAAACCTATCTTTGATTCGCACACGACTACCCATCTCGATCCCCTTTACCAAATGTATAATTGTTGAAGTTGGATTGTCAGGCTGCTAAAACTATTTTTTAAATAGTGTTTTGTTCCTCCGTTTTCATAAATACCAACATGAGATCATAAATGTTGACCTCCAGCGGTATTTGTGTGAATATGTAATATTACCTTTAAGATTGTAAGAGATTTAATCCCTACAAGACTAAGAGTAAAACTGAGTCATTTTATTAGAATGAACAAGTTTAACCCATATATGTGTTGCATAACAACAATCTCAAAGGACATGAATTAAATTCTCTTCATTATCCGTACATCAGTTGAAATCCCCAAATATAGTTGGGTTCCACTTATGGCACCAAGAGTTAGACAATAGTCTCTCATGACACATAAGGCAAGTGAAAGTTTGGATTCGATGGGAGCCCTTCCACTTCCAAATGACATTTTAGTCAATATATGTTTCTATGAAATCCGAATAAGAAAGAAGATAATTACATGCATTATCCACTGAGAATATATTGTCTATATACTCCCCCACCCTATCCTATTGATACCATCTTCAAGTAGAGGATGAGGAATAGCCCCGATACAATTGACCAGCTCGACAATGAACTTGTAACACCCCGAATAATATGCATCTAGAACCATATTATTCGAAATGTTAAAACATGGTATTGAGTATAACAAAAGTGTATAAATGACATCTGGTACAAGTATGACACTAGATCCACAACATAGTACATACACAACGTAGATGTCTAATATAAAATATTACTGATATAATGCACATCAAAAACACAAAATATTCACACAGCCTCCAAACTCTTCAAGCCAACTTGCATATTCCTTTTTCTTGCATCCGATTACCTAAAATATTGAACATGGGTGAGATACAACCATCTTAGTGGAGTTCTAACTACACCATAAGTTTGCTCGGTAAAGGTGTTTCTAAATTCTATCTTTATCATGCAATTATTATCAACCATGCATATTCTATAATCATGCAAGAGCAGGTAAATCGAGACCTAAACGATCTCATAAGGTGTGTGAATATCAATACTTGGGCTCAAACAACCCATGTCTACCTCAGGAGATGGATGACTACATGGGACATCTTTCCCCGCCACATTTTTCTACATAAGTCTAGAAACAGATCATAGAATTCCCATTAAACATGGAACGTCTTGCCTCGGCCACAACTTTTTATATGAGTTTAAACATGGGACACAAACTTCCTATTAAACGAGGAACGTCTTTCTCCAGCCACAAATGTCCATATAAGTCTTGACACGGGTCACAAACTTCCTACTAAATGAGGAGCGTCTTTCCCTAGCAAAAACGTTTCACATATGTCTGGACACATATCACAAACTTGCTACTAATCGAGGATCGTCTTTCCCAAGCTACAACTTTTTAGATAAGTTTAGGAACGGATCACGAACTTTAAACGTTATACGTAACGTCTCTCCCATTATTGGTAGCATTTTATCAAGCATACATAAAGATCCTTGATATTGTAGTTGCATGTGAAGGTGATAAAAAATACATAAGAATGCGGGTTGAATTGTGTATGCCGAAAAATCTCTTTTCACTTTTGATTCTGAAACATCAGATTCTGAACCACGTTCGGAGTCTAGTATCAGAGTGAGTAAAAGCAATGAAAAGTTTTAATTCATTTTCTTAATCCTATTTCAGAACCTGAGGTGTCAAGCTCAGATTCTAATCCAAGTAATTGAATCAGGTCTGAGTCTGACTTTAGAGTTTGCTATACAGTGGAATGTAAATGGATAAGTAAATAAAATGACACACAATATATCATGATTCCTATCAATTGAGAGTATTCTAGTCCCCTTGCAGCAAAAGAGTTTTAACTATAATCAATACGATTACAATTGCTTAATCCAGCAGCACAAGACTTCCTGGTTAAGCCCTCAGTTCAAGACTTATTACTCAATCTATCCAGAATGAGACTCCCTACTCAAGCCCTCAAGCATTCTTTCTAAAACAACCTATTCAGGACTTCCTGTTCAATCTATTCAGATTGAGACTTCTGACTTTTCCAGCAAGCATGAGACTTCCCTGCTCAATCTATTCAGATCAAGACTTCCTACTTTTCCAGCAAGCATGAGACCTCAATGCTCAATCACACTGTTCAAGACTTTCTACTCTGCCTGCAAGCATGAGACTTCAATGCTCAATCTATCCAGAATAAAACTTACTCTGAGCACATTAGCTAGAGTCTTCAAATTCTCTTATCATAAGAATCTGGTATTAACCTTGTGCTTACATGTGTGCTTCTTAGATAAACAGATACACAAAGGTTTACACTCTTGAACATAATATGAATTGTTTGCCCCTGAGTTTAGAAGAATGAAGTTTTCATTCTTCTTCTATCCCTGCACAAATTTCCTTCTTATTGTGCCTTTCTGTTCTGTTGATCATATTCACATATTCTTTCTTCAAAACATATGTGAATACATCTTACTCTGCTCTCACACGCTTAACCCTTCTAGTTATATTTTCTTTTTTACTATGTTTCTCTCATCTGTGTTTTCTGTGTAACACAATCTCTCTCAACCCATTTATGTGAACACAGTCTCACATTTTTCAACTCACATTTATTCTCTCTTAAGATATATCATTAAATGTTTTCAATCTTCTTCTTTAAAGAGATGTTGAGAATAGATTCGTTGAGGATTAACACTACCTATGGTACAAGTAGTTGTTGAAGGTCTTTATCTAATGTACAATAGAGTGAGCTCAAACTCAGCTAGCATAAACATGTTGAGAGGAGTAGAGTAGAGTTTAGAATAGTTGGAGACATAAGATCTTGACAACATTACTTTATGCTGATTAGATATAAAATAGTGTACCTTTGTCACAAGATCTTCTTTAGATAAATTCTGACTTGAGGCTTCTTGTAGATGTTTGTTAAAGCTTGTTCAGAGTCATTGTTATCTTTATACTTAACTTCCTGAATCAGATACTTTTTATAGAACTAGTTAAAGCATGATCAGAAGCTAAAGTATGTCTTCAAAGCATGGTTGGAATAAGACATCAGAGTCTTGAGTTCACAGGTTTTGAGCTTTCCTTCACAAGAGTCTTGATTAGAACTAGTCTGTATGAACACTTTCTAAGTTGATGACTTGATGTAGACAAAATCCCTTTGAAGTAATATCTTCAGAATTATTGATGAAGCTTGTTTAGAAGATTCAGATTCGTTACTTTATAACAGAGTCTGCTTGCTTCAAACGACTTCAGCCTTCAGAACTTTTCTGATCTTTGTATTTCAAGTAAGCTTAGGTTCAACATCTAAAAGACTTGATCTGACTCTCTAGAGTCTGAAAGCTTTGTTTTGAACCTTCATATTTAGAACAAGTTTGTTTCTTTTTGGTTCTTCTGAGTGATTAACTGGATTTATACAAGGGTTAATGTCTTTTTATCCTGCACACTTGAATAACAATTAGTAAACCCTGTTATTCTTTAAGTACTTTGTTATCATCAAAACCTTTTAAGGGTATGAACAAATCTTGTTCCAATAATCTCCCCCATTTTTCATGATGACAAACAAATATATTTAAGAACAATGGTTGATGATTTAATTAACACAGTCTAACATCAAAGTCTGAGGTTTGTAAGCCCCCCCTAAGTTAGGCAGACCATAAAGGTGAGGTTTATAAGCTCCCACTAAGTCTGATAGTCCATTAAGATGAGGTTCGTAAGCTCCCATTAACTCTTTATCTATGTTAATTGAATCTTATAAATTTAGTCAACAAATTCTAACACCAGGGTCTGAGGTTTATAAGCTCCCCCTGAGTTTGACATACATTAGGTTGAGGTTTGTAAGCTCCTCCTTTAGTCTGATAGTTCTTAAGTTGAGTTTTGTAAGATCCTCTTAAGTTCTATCTATGTTAATTAAATCTCTCATTGAGCACGATGAGATTAAGTTCATTCAAAATTTAAATAACAATAACTCAGAACCTGAGAGTTCAGGTTTTAGATGTATTTAAATGTATTTAAAATACATATACCCCTCATTAAATACTCCATGCACTTTCTCCCCTTTTTTATTATCAAAAAGATTTTAAAAGAAAGATAAAAAACAATAACAAAAAAATCATAGGACTGATAACAAATAAGCTTATGAACAACAAT